CCAAAGTACATACACACACACAGCAGAATAAAAACAGACAATATCACTTTCAATATTCTCTGCCAAGCAGCTCTCACTGTCTGTGTAGTGTGTAACAGGCTTTTTCCTGACAGCCACAGCTTTGTTCTCAGAGCTTGTCATTTAGCATCCAGCAATGCTGATGAAAGCCCRGAACAGATAACGCCACAAACAGAGGCTCAACTTCACAGCATGCTTGGCCTTGACTTTCCCTGGGCTTGGATGAGGGAGCACCCTGTCATTTGGGACAACGCTACTGTAAAGAGAGGTCGCTTGTCGTCTGACTTGGAATCTACGCAGATAAGGAACTCTGAAAGAAGAAAGCTCCCTAAAACCCACACAGCAAGATATCCGAGCTGCAGGGGGCTGCATTTAGGAGATTAGTCTGTGTTGTGCYGCTGTTTGAATCCACTTAGTTTCAAATTGTCCCTGACCTGACTGCAGGGGGGGTTGTGTTATGTGGTCGGCAGCTGAACCCGATCCTGTGGTTATCACAAAGAAACTGCGATTGGTACACGGACGGCCTCTGCCTTGTTTATTTAATTTATTTTCTTTGATTTAATGCAGCAGGTTACTGGTGGGCTGACCCTCTGGTAGTTTAAAGCACGTGGGCCCGGTGTTCTCTCTGCTATAAAAGCCCGTCCTCCTGGCTAAGACACTCTCTCTCACTCACCTGACTTTAATGCATAGTTGTTGCTTTGTTCTCCTCCCTCCAACATCATCAACACACAATCCCTACTGATTCCACTGATGAACACACCTCACAACCTTCTTAGTTTGTGTTATGTTCGTTTAAAGAAATATTTAAATAAATGACACATTTTTGGCTTTCAACCAGCGTCTCACTCTATTTTTGTCACAGCTTCTGAGCTGGGTCGTGACAGTTCAGAAGCAACAACATAGCCACTGGCAATAGCTCTGGCTCTGCATGCTATCTGTGTCACAGCGGTAGGAATCATACTCCCAGGCCTACTATGAACCCAGTGTGTTTTTCGTCACCATATGATGAAGTAAGACCTCAATACTTCTTTATTACTGACCAGAATGTTTCCTGTGGCAGAGAATCAAAAACTCAAAAAGAATCTGGTGCTGGTTGTTTTTTTTAACTTAATCTTTGATCACATAGTTTCTATTTAGTTCATAATTATGCTAAATTTAGTCAATTTTAAGTAGGTAAAGGTTGTGTATGGCTGTTTGTTTTTATAATGTAATGTCTATATCTCATATGGATATGGATTTTTTCAGAGCAGACATTTTGAATTACCTATTTTTGAGAGTGCTTATCTTTCTTTTGCTATTTATTTTAGCAAAATTTGTCACCATTTGCTGTATTTGATCTTAATGACATTGTTTGTGAAACACTTTGTAACAGATGTTTTGAAAGGTGCTATATACATTTTTATCATTATTAAAGCACATCATAGTTCTCTGCTTGGGACTCACAACTGACTTTTGTGCAAACATTTCATGCTAGGTTTCAATGCAACAATAAAGGGAAATACACAGGGAATAAACTGTACAACCCCAAATGTCAGTGAGCATGAGACTGATATAAAAATATCTGATATCATAAAAATATCTGATATCACTTTCACAGGGCCTTTAATGGGCTTCTCTTTAGTCACCATTTCGTTTTTGTTCATTTTTCTGACAAAAGAAACAGAAAACATGGAAATGAGAATGGATTTATTGGGAATTTGATTGAATTAAAATACTGTATAAGTGAACACAGGGAGCAGGAGAGAAGTAAACAGATAAAGGGCTGAAACAGACTGACACAGCAAAATGCAAATACCACACAATGATGTTAGGAAAACGCTAATTGGAGTCTTGCTGTTCCACAACACTTTTCAACAACATCTTCAATTTCTCACATTGACTGTACACGGCCCAGCTATACACAAGGTTTGGGCCTAGTTTTATTGAACTCTGATCAAGCCTAGTTAACTGTTTTTCTTTTATTACTCAAAGAATAATTCATGGATCTTGATGAAAAAACAGGCATGGTCATGGGGCTGATATTTATGAGTGTGTGCAATTTGGTGGAGATCCACATAAAAATCTGGAGCATGTTAATTTCTGAGTGCCAGTCGAGTTTTGAAAATGAAAATGCATTAAAATACACCCTGAGACATTGAGTTATGTGATATAAGCTGTTTTTATAAAATTGATTTCCATTAAATTGTATATATTGTTCGAACTGCAACAACACAAGAGAAAATTGATCATGACTTGTATCTGTGCATGTTTCTGACCAGCAGATGGAGCCACAAGACAACCACACTGTCTCCAGAGTGGAATTGGCTGCAGGGTCCAGGGTGGTCCTGTGCT